TAGGAAGTCAACTTGGGTTTAAGTCCTTTTTATAATTACTCTGTATTGAGAATTTCTGTTTCAGACAACTCTTTTATCAGAAGAACTAGAATATTTTTTGTACATGAATTTTTAAATTAATTTGACGAAGATAAAAAGAGTATAGAAAAAGATTTCATACTGGATTTTGTTATGATGGGCTTTGTTTGTTTAGTGAAGGTAATACTATTATTTATTTATTTATTTAAAGAAACCGAACTTTCATGGAGAGAAAATGAAAGAATAGATAAAGAACATACAAAAAAAAAAGAGCTCGACAAATAGGGATTAACCTATAAGAAGGGGCCCAATAAAAGAATTATAGTATTTTCTTACTTAGTCATGGTTTCTAATTATCAAGGGCGTCTTTTAGCCATCATGGTGTAGTCTAAAGGGGTCAATAAGGGTCCATGTAAATAGCAAATGGCTTAGAGGAGAATGAGTTCAAACCATAGTGGCCACCTACTTAGGATTTAATATCCTACGAGTTACCTAGGCAACCAAATGTAGTAGAGTCAAGCGGTTGTCCCGTGAGATTGGTTGAGGTGCACGCAAGCTGGTCCAGACACTCACGGATATAAAGAAAAAATTATCAAGGGTGTCTTTGTTATATCTGGTAGGTGTGAGGCATCCATCTCAATAACATCACATATTACCAAATTTTTGTAATGTTAACCAACAGATGAAGGGATAGTACACATTTAACTTATTGTTGATTTCTTATCCGTTACTACTACCTTGTGTACACTGGAGTGAGGTTCAATCTTTAATCCAAGATCTTTTTCCAATGTCATGGATACTACATTCCTGCAACTCCTATTGTCTATGATACAAATGCATAGCGTTACCTTGTCTTGAATATTATGCACCTCTGTGTACAATTAGGATATGATTTTGGTGTTAGCAAGTCTTTGTAAAACACAGACCACGTGCTTCCCCTCATCTCCTTCTTCTCAACAGGCTGCTTCTTTAGTGATTTTTTCATTTACCTCCTCATGCTCATGCTTGGTCTGCTGCTTCTATTATAGTGATTTGCTTTCTTTGTTTGGCAATTATTTGATAAGTGGCCTGCTTGGTCACATCCAAAGCATTTTCTTGTGTTAGGTCTTGAATAGGTACTGTTTTTGGCCCTCCACTGGTTTGAGCAGCATGCCATTTGGTTTTAATGGATATTTCTTGTACTACCAATGAGTTTAAAGCTCTAGTGGAAAATTTTCAGTTATCCATCTATTGCTCTCTTTGTTCAGCCCCTCCAAGATTACTTGCCTATTATCTCTTGAGAGTTGTCTTTCCATTTTGATTGTCCATTATTCTCACTCATAGACCATACACCAGGCTTCTCTAATGGAAGAATCTTTTTGGCCGAGGAGGGCAAATAACAAAGGGAAAGACTTGTATAAACTTGCTACTTATCGTTGGATTGGAACATTTCTTTTTAACATGTAACAATCATCTCCTTTTGCTTAAGCTTAGGACAAGTTTATTGCTATTGTTGATCCTACCTAACTCATGCACCTGATTTCAAGTTGTAAGCCACCAGTACTTTTTTTTTTTTTTTTCCTTCAACTATTGTGATGTACTCAGGTAGATTGAAGAGATTTTCAATATTTTTGATCATCCTCCAAATGTTAACCTCCATATCTTATATCCCTATGAATGAAGATAGCTCTACTTTCATCTTGTCATCTTGGTGTTTTGCAGTCCAATTTAGAATCACAGAGTCACCCCTTCCTCCATTGTCACTATGCAACATCCTTCTGGAATGAGCTTTTATCATCATTCAATTGGTCCACGGTTCTTCCTAATGACCAATCTTCTCTCCTCACCACCAAATTTTTGGGGTATCCATTCAACAAAGAAAAAAAGCTTCTCTGGAACGATTTTGTTTGAGTATTCTTTTGGATGACTTGGAATGAAAGAAATCAAAGGATATTTGAAGATCCCATTTGATCGTTCTTTTGGTGCTATAGTTTTATTGGCATTAATTGGTGTAAATTGTCCCTTATTTTTCATTTCTATAGCTTAAACACTCTTTTGTCCAATTGGAGAGGCTTTTGTAATTCCCTTGGATTGGGGTTTTCTCCCCCATTTTATAATTTTATACATCAGTGAAACTGTTTCTTAAAAATAAAATTCGTGAGTATCCGTACAGCTTGTGCATGAACGTTTTTTTTAGAGAGTTTTGAAGGGTTATCATTCCAAAATTTTGCCTAAGGCCACATATCATCTTGTGAGTTTTGAAGGGTTATCCTCTAAAATTTGAGAGAGTTTGAAGGGTTATGTTAATGTTTTTTTTTTTTTTGAATGAAGTTTGAAAGGTGTTAAACATGAAGAAAAAGATAAAAGTAGCAAATTTTGAAGGTATCAAATTAGAATTGAGAGTTTTTTTGTCTATGGTTTTAAATATTGAGAACCTCCTTTTTCGAGAATGGGGCGTTAGTATCCGACAAATTTATTGTGAAGCCGATTCTTGTGCAGATTGGCTTGCTAGCCAAACAGTGTTTCTTCCCTTAGGTTTACATATTTGTGAAGGGTTAGTCTCTTTTTCTCTATTGATTGCGTATGTAATGAGGTCTCCATGCCCCGTCTTGTCATTTTTTTCATCTTATCATTTTTTCTTAGTTTGATGGGGTTTAGTCCCATTTCCTTCCCAAAAAATTAATAATTAAAATCTAGAGAAATTTATATGACGGATTGAATATGGGTTTTATATTTAATTAAAGATTTTTCTCAAGAGAATTATATTTATTATAGTTTGTATTTTCAATATCATAAGAACAAAATCCTTGGAAAATATATTATTTTATATTCCAAAGTACATTTATAAGTAAAAACTAATTAAATAGATAACAATATTATATTATATTATATATACTAGTATATGAAAAATATGAGGCCTTCTAAGATTTGGGACCTTAGGCGATCGCCTCACTCGTCTATACCTTAAGCCGGTCCTGCCAATAGGCCAGACCATGGTTATGAATCAATTTGATAAAAACAACTTGAACCAAAAAGGGGAAGCTGGTTACGAACAGCTCAAGTTGCCTTTTTATTTTTTAATTATTTATGGTGAAAGGTATTCTTAAGTACATGAAATGATACAGTTTTGTAACAACACCATGGTAACAACAGGAGTAAAATCAGCCGATTACAGAGAACATATAAAGAATACATTCTACATCATAATGGTACACTTTTGCTGATGTGTATGTTTATGCTTCCATGCCTTTTTTCTTATTCTGCTGTTTATGTTTTCAACTATATTGGTAGTTTGTCTGATTTCCTGTGAAAGGTTTTCAAGGTACTGGAGAACTTTTATTTTTATTTAACTGCAATTATTTTAATTCATTATTGGGTATGAGTTCAATTATAAATTTGTTTGTATCATTGCTTTCCTTAGGTCATGCCATATAGTACTGGTTGCAAGACACCACTTTCAAACTTTGAAGCTGGTCAGAGCTATAAGGTTTGTGACTTTTTGTTCGATTGGAAATTATCCTTGCAATACACATGATTTAAATCTTCTATTTTATAGATCAAAACCATTGACATGTATGTTTAGTCAACCTTTTCATGAATAATTTTCAATGTCTAAGAGTACAACCTTATACAGGATGTTCCTGATCCTGAAATAATGGTAGCTTTTCCAATACTCGGGGATCCCCAAAATGCGGCTTTTGTGGCTTGGACAACTACTCCATGGACCCTTCCGAGTAATCTTGCTCTTTGTGTTAATGCAAATTTTGTCTATGTGAAGGTCAGATGGTGTAAATTTATTTTATCTTACTTTTTTGGTGGTATTAGCGAACTTATAATTAATTTGATCTTAAGCTCTCTATACCCGAATTTGGCTCTGTTGTTGTTTATTTTGGACTTTTAAATTTAACTTTGGATAAAGTGTATGCAGATGACTTTTGTTTTACATCCTTGGATTAAAGATTCAGATGCCCTTTGAAATGTTGTCTTCTTTGTTTCAACCTTGTATATATTACTTGAGTAGCCATATTATCAAGTTTGACACCAACGGCTAGGCAAGTATATATATAGGTGCTTAGTGCTGCTGCTTTTTCCTGATACGTATATAGAGGTGCAAGAATGCATTGTTGTGCACCTTTTGGAAATACCATTAATTTGGCCGAAAGACACATTGGATACCAGGATACAACATCTTCACCTAGCATCAATCCCTGTCAAGAAGCTCCAATCAACGCTTCATAAGCATTTCAAACTTAAAAGAGCCTTCTTTTTCTTCTTTCCTTTCCATTCATCCAGTAAGTCACTATGATCTAGACCTGCATTCCTCCCACATAAGCAGCCTGATTTTCAAATATACACTGGTTGCGAAGTAGAAAGCTTCCCTTTTTGTATCTAGGCTTTCCTTTGGGGGAAGTTAACACACAATCAGCTTTTGGGATCCTTTTGGTGGATAAGATGAAAACTAGACTTGATATATGGAGAGGTTGTTGCTATCTAAGGGAGGTAGGTTAACTTTGTGCGCATTCCATATTAAATAGCTTTCTAGTGTATTATTTTTCCAAACTTGAAGGCCCCTGCCAATGTAATTGACTCCATCGAAAAACTTTTCATTTGGAGTGGAGGTACCTACAAATAGGGGAGTGATTTGGTCAAGTGGAAATGAGCTTCCTGCCCACGCAACATGGCGGTTTAGGTGTTGGTTTCTTGAAATAGGTGAATATTGCTGATTTGCCCATGAAGAAGATAGCCTTTGGAGGAAGACTATAACAACCATATATGGGGTGGAATCTAATGGTTGGTTGGCGAAAATAGCAAAGGGGTCCGCTAGAGGGAGGCTGTGGATGGTGATTGATAAAAATAGGCATGGTTTTCTCAATTAGGTTATGTTTAAAGCTTCGAATGGGAGAAAAATAAGGTTCAGGGAAGATGCCTGGTTGGATTCTACTGCTCTCTTTCTGAATTTGTAAAAGGATTGCCTAATAGCGAATTGTTGGGTGGAGTCAGCTTTTTCTTTGGATCTCTTTGGATATAGAGATTTATATATAGGCTCTTTTCATGGAAAAACTTGATCTTTTCTACATAGGGCAGGAATGGATAGATTTTGTTGGGGAAAGACAAGGGTAGTGGTATCTTCTCAGCCAAATCTACCTTCTCCCTTCTCACTTCCCTTTTGGCTAGGCTGAAAGCTCTGATCGTAACCATTATGGGTGGCTCATTGGTCCAATGGGACTAGGAAAAAGTGAGAGGGAATGAGTTCAAATCCCATGATGGCCACCTACCTTAGGAATTAATTCCTTTGTGTTTTCTGGCATCAAATGTTATAGGGTCATTCTCGTGAGATTAGTCGAAGTGCGCGTAAGCTGGCATGGACACTCATGGATATCAAAACACAAAAGAAAAAAGCTCTGGTGGTAAATTTTATTTGCAATTTTAAGGTCCCAAAGTTATTCCTTTGGTACTTCAAGTCTAAATATAGTTTAGAGTTTCCAACGACATTACCTCCATTGGTACCTTCCCCCCTCTATTTGCAGCATGTGTAATTCGAATGAGGAATTGTTGGATCATATTTTCTTACATTGTTCTTTTGTATCGAGGGCTTCGTCCTATGTTATTGTAGAGATCGGCTTTCTTTTTGTCTCCTCTACAAAGTTGATGATTTGATAGTGGAGAATTTTGGAGGTGTGATACTTAGACGAAAGGCTTATATTYTTTGGAGTTGTGTGGCTCGTGCCCTTTTAGTTGATTGTGAAAGAAAAGAATGGTCGGCTCTTTGTAGAGAAAACAACCTCGGTGGATTCTTTTTGTGATAGTATATGACACACTTCTTCGTGGTGATGCACAAACCACAAGAACCAGCCTGTTTATAAGCGATTGTAAAGCTCTTACTACTTAGTACTTAGTATTTAGGTTGATACATTTTTGCCATGAGAAAAGAATTATTAAGGGGGTTTAAGTTGGGAACTAATGATGTGGAGGTTACTCACCTACAATATGCTGATGATATCTTGGTTTTTAGCCCTTTCCTTAAACAGAATCTGGAATTGTGGTGTTTGATTAATTTCTTTATGTTGGCATCGGGCCTCTCGCTAAATGTCACAAAAACAGCTTTGATAGGAATCAACTGCAGTCCCTCAGAAACAGCTGTTTGGGCTTCATCTTTTGGCTCCAAGGTAGAGAATTTCCTGTTTTTGTTTTCTTATCTGGGCTTTCCTCTTGGGGGAAATCATAGAAGAAAGTTTTCTTGGGAGCCTCTGCCGGAGAAAATGAGTAAAAGGCTCCATAAATGGAAACCACTCCTTTCCAAAGGAGGAAGGCTAACTTTGGCTCAAGTTGTGTTAAATAGTATCCCCCTTTATTATTTCTCGATTCTAAAAGCTCCTGGAGTTGTTATTAAGGCAATGGAGAAATTGATTCAGGATTTTATCTGGAATGGAGGCACCCATAGGCCTTTGGTAAATTTGGTAAAATGGTCTTGGACAGCACTGCCCACTAGGCAGGGGGGCCTTGGAGTTGGTTCCCTTGAGTTGAGGAACAAAGCTCTTTTAATGAAGTGGCTTTGGCGATTTGCGGTAGAGGGAAAGGCTTTGTGGAGAAGGGTTATTGCTGCCATTTATGGGGTGGATTCTCATGAGTGGTTCATTAGAAGCAACACAGGCTCCTCGATTGGAAGACCTTGGATAGATATTGAAAGCACTCGCAATGTTTTTATGAATTTTGTAGCTTTCAAGGTGTCTTCGGGAAATAGAGTCCTTTTTTGGGAAGATACTTGGGCAGACTCCTCCCCCCTTGCCACTGTTTTTCCCAAGATGTTTATGTTGTCCAACAAGAAGGGTGCACCGATTTCAGAATGTTGGAATCCTGTTTCTCTAACATGGGATTTGGCTTTTAGAAGAAACCTCTTCGACAGAGAGCTAGATAGCTGGACTACTTTTACTGAAAAGCTGGATGGAGTGCTGCTAGGGCAGGGTCAAGACAAAATGTGGTGGAAGGAGGATCCAAGTGGGGTTTTTTCAACTAAATCAGCCTTTTTGGCCCTGACTTCCCCTCCTCCAAAGATTAATATTTCCATTTCATTACAGATTTGGAACTTTAAGGTTCCAAAGAGAGTTAAAGTGTTTTTGTGGTCGATGTTCTATCGAGGGATTAATACTGCCGACAAACTTCAGCGTAAACTCCCCTCCTGGACCCTCTCACCTTCGGTATGTTTGTTATGTAGCAAGGATTCTGAGACGCTAGATCATCTTTTCCTCCATTGCCAGGTGGCTTCTTCAGTGTGGTTTCACTTTGCTTCCATTTTGGGAGTGTTTTTTGTCTCCCTGAAAAGATAGATGACTTTATTTCAGAAGGCTTCGGGAGAAGGCCCCTTAGGGATAAAGCTTTTATCCTTTGGAATTGTGCAGCTAGAGCGTTACTTTGGCTTTTGTGGAGAGAAAGGAATAGTAGACTTTTCGAAGATAAGAAGTCCCCGGTGGATTCTCTTTGTGTGAATATACAGCATACAGCTTCTTGGTGGGTTTTTTGTAATTACAATTTTCAAATGATTACATGGAATTGGAAAGTTGTGATTGTATAGTTCTTTGGGGAGGGTTTTCTCAACCCTCTGCCTTTAGGCGGTCCCTTTTTCGAATGGAATACATCTTGTATGTTTCTTATTAAAAAAAAGTATTTGGGATAGGGTAATCTTCACCCTTTGCCCTTAGGCGGTCTATTCCTTTTGTGATTAATACATATCCGTTTCTTATGAAAAAATTGTTTCAGCATGTTTTTTTTTCTTCTTCCTAAAAACTGAGATTTTTTTTTTTTTGCATTTTTTAAGGGGGTTGCTAAGCCAACCCTTTTGCCTTTCTTTGAGTCTAAAGATGATGCAATTTCAAAGAATTTCTAGAATAAGAAGGATAAATAAGTAGTAGCCTTGCATTTTGATAAATTATTTGTGATCACTAGAATACACTCTTTGGACTTTTATGATTGGAGAGTTATTTTCATAATAATTTTGAAAGAAATTTCTTGGAATTGTTTATTTGTCCTTTTGCTGTTGATAAAACTTTTCTCAAATTTGGAAATTGTCAAGCTGTGGGAGTCTTGGCGTGTGGAAGAAGGTGGAGAGGCTTGCATATTTTGATTGAAAACAGATGTGCTTATAAGCATGATAAGGCAGAAATAATTGAAAGCAATGTGGGTTGGACCTAAATAAGAGACTTGTCTCTTTCTTTGTGGAATAAGGAAACCTTTGAGTTTATTGGTAAGGAACATGGAAGCCTTATTAGTATCTCTAATAGTATCTCTTTAATACTTCCTTATGAGGTTCGGTCACTAAGGCCTTTTGTAATTATCAGTTAGGTCTCATTCTTTTGGATTGGAGCCCTTTTATTTAGGGGTTCCCCTTTGTTGGGCTGTTTTTTTGTATGCCCTCTTTGTTTTTTTGGTATGTTTTTCATTTCTCTCAATGAAAGTTCTGTTTCTCATTAAAAAAAAAAAAAGAAGTGATGCAGAGGTGGTGGTGCATGATTCAGCTCTTGATAAGCTGGTAGTTTAAATTTCAGCATTCGTTTCCTTGCCATCAAGAACAGAACTTTTGACGCCTCAAATTCCCAAAATGTTAAGAGACATGTTTTAGACTATTCTACTTTTGTTATCTAGAATGAAAGTCAGTTGCTTTTCAACCTTCTGTTGGATGAATTATGATGGTACTTAAACTTCTATTTTAACTTTTACGTGTCTTCTTATTGGATGAAAAGACCAGAAATTTTGAGTTTCTTGAGTAGAATGATCGGTTGAATAGTGCATTGGATTTTTTGAGAGATAAGAAAATTAGGTAACATGAGCAGTCATCTAAGGATATGATCTCTTTTTACACTATAAGCTGCAAAGGAAATGTCCTACATGGAACCTCTCCCCTGTTTGTAGTTTGTCTTAGAAATGGAGACTCGGTGGATCATCTCTTCCTCCATTGTTCTTATGCTACAAGTGGCTGGTCTTTTATTGCTTCTCAAATAGACCTTTCCTTGTGTCTTCCTAGGAAAATTGATGATTTTATTGTTGAGGTTTTCGGGGGTGCTATGTTAAAAGGAAAAGCTAGTGTCTTATGGAATTGTGCTGCTCGTGCTCTTATTTGGCTCTTATGGAAGGAGAGAAACAGTCGGATCTTTGGAAACACATCGTCCTCGATGGATTCTTTTTGTATGAATATTAAGAATGTTGCTTCGTGATGGAGTGTTTCCCACAAAAAGTTTTTTTTTGTAATTACAGCATCCAACTTATTCTCCAAGATTGGAAACAATTGATTGTATAGTTTTGAGGGGAGGGTTTTCTCTACCCTCCGCCTTTTGGCTGTATCTTTTCGGGGACGTACCCGGTACCCCTTTTCTATTACCTTTTTAATGTTTCTTATAAAAAAAAGGGGGTTGGGGGCATTTATGATGATTCACACGCTTTAGATTTAAACTCTAGAGCTGTTTTATATGCCTCTGTCAACAATGCGCTGAATGGTGCTTTGAATATGGTTGGTGAGAAGCTGGATGGATCGATTGACGCTTTTAGTACAGTTGGAGAGAAGTTGGAATGTTCAAATTTGGTTGGTGTGATAGGGCCAATATTAGTATGGCTACTTCCAATGCTGTTTTGCATGCTTCTATGATTAATCATTGATTGCGGATGATTTCAACACTTTCATTTTGATGAGCATGACCTATCAGAACCTGCCATTTTGAAGAGATATTAGTCAATTTTGAATTGACTTTACTTGGCAGGTATATAGATAGGTCATGCTCTCTCTTCGTGCTGTTGTGGGGGATGGTCAAAATACTTATTTCTGGGAGGATTCGTGGGTTGGTGATAAACCTTTGTGCCTTGCTTTCCCTCGGCTTTATTTTCTATATGAAAATAGGCTTCTTTCGGTGGTCGAGATTTTGAATCTTGGGGGGAGTTTAATTCCATTTCTTTGGGCCTCTCTCGTCCTTTGACGAATCGGGAGTCTTTAGAGGTGTCCGAGTTGTTGGTGTTGTTGTCTGAGGTGTCTTTATTTGCTGGGAGGGAGGATGTGAGGGTGTGGTCCCCCAACCCCTCGATAGGTTTTTCTTGTAAATCTTATTTTGATGTTTTGATTTCCCTTTCTCCTTCTTCCCCTTTGACCTGTTGGTTCAACTCTCTTTGGAATATTAAGATTCCGAAGAAGATTAAATTCTTCGGGTGGCAAGTTTTACTTGGGAAAGTCAATACTTTAGATCATATCCAAAGAATGTCTTCCTTTTGTCTGGGCCCGCAGTGGTACGTTCTCTGTAGGAATGCCTCTGTAGATTTGGAGCACTTGTTATGGAGTTGTCAATTCGCTCAGGATGTTTGGCTCCGTTTCTTTGATTGCTTTGGCTTGTCTTGGGTCCGTTCCAGAGATTGTAGAGGGATGATGGAGGAGGTGCTGTTACACCCCCATTTTCGTCACAGGGTCATTTTTTGTGGCAGACCTGTTTTCTGGCTGCTATTTTGGGGATTTGGTTAGAGAGAAATAATAGGCTGTTTAGGGAGCTGGAGAAATCGGTTGATTATGTTTGGGATCTCATTAGATTTAATACTTCTTTATGGGGCTCTGTTTCTAAGGCCTTTTGTAATTATCCGTTAGGTCTCATTCTTTTGGATTGGAGTCCGTTTCTTTAAGTGACTCCTCTCGAGGTTGGTTTTTTTTTGTAGGCCCCTTTGGTTTTGTAGAGACTAACGTTGGAGAGAATCCAATATGATGTATTCTCATTATTAAAGTCTATATATATAAGTCTATATATATAGACAAATATACAAGATTGACCTAATCCTATAAGGAGAAGGTAAAGGACAAATTAATATTAATACAAGAATATAAAATATACTAATATATACTCTAACAATCCCCTTCAAGTTGGTGCATATATGTTAATCATGCCCAACTTGTTAGACAAATACTCTATTCGTGCTCCATTCAATGCTTTAGTAAAGATGTCTTCTAGCTGATCTCCAGTCTTCACATACCCTGTAGCCACCAATCCTTGCTGTATTTTCTCACGTACATAATGACAATCAACTTCAATGTGTTTGGTTCGTTCATGAAATAC